AATGTAAATATATCCATGAATAAAATGCAACCATCCAAGCCCTCCGGGAATTTATGCTTAAAAGGAGGAAGGCAGATAATGAAGACACAGTATCAAGTTCAACAGTATGATAAGAAGTGATAAATGCTATAGAAAAAAGGAAGATAGCAATTTATGAGGATTTCCGGATAATGGGGAAGGGGTAGCCAGGGACTTACAGTTTAACTGGTGCAGCCAAGGTTGAGCTCAAGAAGGAACAAATCTGAGCAGCTACTGGAAGGGGGAGAGTCCAGCAAGCTGCGGGGGGAGAGGGAGATGGATTAGGATGACAGAGTCGTTTCCAGAGCAGATGGCCTCAGTGTGATGGATGCCTGGATACCGAAAACAGCAAGTAGCAGAAAGCAGAACAAATGGTATAAGATGACATCAGAAAGATGGCAGTGGGTACCCAAGGCCCAGTGAGGCTGTCACATGAGAAACACTGGAGAGGGGTTGGAGCCACACAGTGCCCGGCTCAGCTGGCATTTATGAAGACAGCTCTGGTGTTCATGCAGAGGGCAGATGAAAGAGAAGGGACGACGGCAAGAACACATTTTAGGAGGCATTGAAATGATACAGGCAGGAGGTGTCAGTGAATTTGCCTGTTCGTATATACAACATGAATGCTTTAAAAAGGCATGGTTATTGGCGGGGCCCCTTTGTTTTCCTTTTTCCTACTGTTCTTTCGATCACAAGTGGCAGTATTGTAAAGAAACGCATTGCCTCACTTTCTGTAGTATGCCACCATGAGAGGAAGGGAACTTGATATAAGTTAGAGGAAACTGGGGTGTAGAATCCAGGAAGCAGGGTCTCCAGAGATAAGACTATGAGGTATTTCGGGGAGCCCGAGGTGGGAGTCTTTATACTAGGGTGCATGCGTGCTCCTGTTACAGGATTGCTTACTCAGGTTTTCTATCGTCCAGAGCCATTTTCTTCCAAATACACCCAGGGGCCTCTTCTTCATGGTTGTTTGGACCCTTGCCCCGATGTTACCCTTCAGGAAGGTGGGAGCTTCCTTGACTGACCATCTAGCTGCTTTCTTTTCTCTAACCTCTGCCCTGCTTTATATTTTGGCACATAAATCCACACCTGAAATTATGCATTGGCAGATGTATTTTTCATTGTCTTTCTGTCCTCCGAGACTGTCATTTTATTAATCTTATTCGTCACCTAGAACAGCAGCTACCATAAAACACTCAGTTTTGGTTTTATTTGTTTGTTTTTGTTTTGTTTCTTGTTTTTTGATGGTAGTGTTAGTGATGGTGGTGGTAGATTTCGTTGTTGTTGTTGTTTCAAGACAGGGTCTCTCTGTGTAACAGTCTTGGCTATCCTGGAACTCGCTCCGTAGACCAGGCTGGCCTTGAACTCACAGAGATCTATCTGCTTCTGCCTCCCGATTGCTGGAATTAAAGGTGTGCACCACCACCGCCCACTACCAGTTTTTATGACTGATTAAAGCGGACAACTGCAAGGCTAAGAATTGAGTATGGAAAGGGTGTGGGGTCGGGAGGACCACTCAGTGATGTGGGAGGGTCATCTGTCTATGTGTTACTCTCATTGGTTAATAAAGAAACTGCCTTGGCTTTTTTGATAGGGCAGGATTTAGATAGGTGGAGTAGACAGAACAGAATGCTGGGAAGAAGGGAAGTGAGGGCACCATTCTCCGAATATGGCATAGGTTAAACAAAAAAGAAAGCATTGTGTAATCATATTTCTGTCACCAGTCACAAGGAAAATGGAGTATAAAATATAAGTGCTTAATAAACACCCTGAGTTGGTATCAGTTTCATCTTCTTAGACAAAAGCTGTTTCATTGGTCTTGAGTGCTTAGATTCAAGCTCTTCATTAAAAGTCTAGAGACATATTTATGAAAGACCATAGTTAAATCCATTTCTTTGTATGCTAACTTTAAAGTTAATGAAGGGATGAGAGATGGTTCAACAGGAAAGGGTGCTTGCTGTACAAACCTTAATCTTAGTTTCCATGTTTAAAAAAAGGCATGACTGTATATACCTGTAACACCCACACTATTAGGGGCAGAGAGCGGAGGATCACTGGGGTTACCTAGCTGCCAGCCTAGCTCCAGGTTTGGTGACAGATCCTGTCTCAAGGGGATGCCTATGAAGAGATGCCAAACAACCAAAGTATAGTTAGTGCACGGTACTGATGCCACATTAAAGAAAGAAAAAGACTCTTTGTCTTGGGATAGTTAAGAACAACAGTGAGCACAAATTTGAACTCTCCATTTCAGTTTCCACGGTGTCACCCTCCTGTCTCTGTTGTCTGTTATGTGTCTTTCTCATCTTTCTGGTGTGCATATGTCTGAAGTTTATCTATGGTAGGTGGGATCTGCCTTGCTGTCTGGCCCTAACAAAGAATTTTGTTCTGTGGTTATTGAACAGTCCAGAAAACACAGTATGAGGCAAGAATGCGGAATTTTTTCGCAGAAAAAAATCTAACAGTTTTATAAGGGACTGACTCCTACTGACCCAGAATTGCTCTCACAGATTCAAAAAAGGTTATTAACCTAGAGTCACGTGATGGTTCCAAAATTTATGGAGGATTTGTGCTTACTTTAAGATTGTTTTCAACCTATTGACCACTTTCAGTAAATGATTACCACAACACACACGTGCAAAAACACACACACACACACACACACACACACACACACACACACACACACACACCCTATTCTAAGTCCGGACATGTCAGAGTAAATACATAGTTAAAGATTAAAGCTAAGCGTTTAGCTTAGGTTGTAAAAGCTGTTAGGCTGTAAAACCTGGTATGTCCAAACATCCAAGGCTGGTTACATTGTTTTCTGAAAGGCCAGTTAAACAAGTTGCATCCGCAGTGGAGTTTAAATGGTCTCAAAAGTTAACTTTTAACTTGGTTGCAATGCCCGTCAAAAGCTCAGTCTCTGAAGGAAGTGGTCTTTCCAGAAAACCATCCCCACAGTGTATGTTGTGAAATACCGTGCCTATCTGTGCATAAGCGTTTTTCTAGGGAAAGACCCATACTATCACCCAGATTAGCAATGGAGACCGAGACTGGGCTAACGTCAATATTGTGGTCTTGCTGGGCGGTGGTGGCGCACGCCTTTAATCCCAGCACTCGGGAGGCAGAGGCAGGCGGATATCTGGGAGTTCGAGGCCAGCCTGGTCTATAAGAGCTAGTTCCAGGACAGGAACCAAAGCTACAGAGAAACCCTTTCTCTAAAAACCAAAAATAAACAACCCAAAAAAACATTGTGGTCTCTTCGGAGATACAACAAAGGTCCAAATTGACATATGTGTATATATTTTCAAACTGTTTTTACTTTGTAGATAAATTATTACTCTACTATTCCGCAAGTTCTATTACAATAAGAGCATTAAGCTATGGGATTTGTGTGTTTCTCCCAGCTTGAAAAAGAAGCAGACAACAAAGCCTGATGGTGCATTGACAATGGAAGATGAACTCTACCTGTGTGTGTGTGGTTATTTTCAGAATCAGGAAGGTTATTAATATACTGCCAACTGGGTCAACTCTGAGAGGCTAGTTCATCAACCAGGAGAACACTGCAAAGGTGCTGCCATTCCCCCACCTTACCCCTCCAGGAAGGAGCAGGAGTCTCCATGAACTGGTGGAGAATTGCTCATCATCACTATAACTGACAGACCCTTTGGCCAATACTCTATTACCCTGTCGTAGGATCCACTGCTTTGGGCAAATATCTTCTCTTTGAGCTTCAGTTTTGTATTTTCAACTTCTAAATTAAAGTTATCCCATCTTTGACCAATTAGACCCATATTGTCACTGTCTTGTGTGATGCTATTTGGGGTAAGGGATAAACAAATGTCTAGTCACCCAGATAGGGAATGGACAACATATCAAAGTAACAATATTGCCAAAGTCCAGCCTCATGAACCAATGAGTTTATTGGGGTTAATTACAGGAATATGGGTGAGGGACATATACAGGAACAGGGATAGCTCCGGTAACTATGTCACTGAAAGCCCACGCCAGCCTGTCTGACAACTCAGAAGAAGCTGACACCTTGGAGTGCTCCACATGACTTGTAGGTAAGAAAGTATCTTCTCAGCAGGCATTACTCTTTACACATGCTGGGATGGAAGAGGCCTTGTGAATCTGCTAAGTTTTAGGGACTTTTTGAGACTTTTGAGTTGCTTGCCTTTTGAGCCTCTTTAGTTCAAGATGGCATGTTTTAACTCAAGAAAATCACCAGCTCATTCCTTATACTGGAGCATGGTTGGCAAGTGTACTGTACTAAGCTTCGTATCTTAATGTTGACTGTGGGTCACATGAGAGAACTTCTAAACACAACACTGTGTTTGTAGAACAATGGTGACCACAAACACTACAAATATCTTCACTCTTTCAAACTTTTACTAAGTAAAAAATGAACATTACACATACATATTTAATATTGGTCTTTCCAACTTTATTATGTACAAATAAGAATAACAAATTTTAAATAAAATACTTAGTTCTAAGAGAGCAGAATCTTAATGGTCTGTAAACACTTTAGTTGATCACAGTCAAAACTACACAAAAGATCTCTAGGCCAAACTGACTGGTGAGATAACAAAATCTGTGTTTTCAAGTATGAAGAACTAAACATTTACTGTCTCATGACAAACAATCTATTCTCAGAAACAGTGCAGGTTTTGTTATAGTAGTCTAACTACTCAAACGTGGACTGAATCACTCTTGACGGCAATAGCTCACCTTAGAAGTCTGAACATCAACCATGACTCAGAATATTTATATAAATTGAAGACTTTATCTTATGATGAAAAATAACAGTCCTTAACCTCCTTTAAAAGGAACTTTGAGCTGGGCGGTGGTGGCGCATGCCTTTAATCCCAGCACTTGGGAGGCAGAGGCAGGCGGATCTCTGTGAGTTCGAGGCCAGCCTGGTCTACAAGAGCTAGTTCCAGGACAGGCTCCAAAACCACAGAGAAACCCTGTCTCGAAAAACCAAAAAAAAAAAAAAAAAAAAAAAAAAAAAAAGGAACTTTGAAGTTAAACTTTCCAAGACTTTCATTCAAAAATGTTTCTTAAATATCAAATTTCTCTTCACAGACACTATGTCCATTTTCTTCATAATCTTCTCTTGTAACCACCATATCTTCAAAATCATCATTTTCAGATATCAATTTTCCACCTTCCCAGGAGTAAGTAATAGGGCTGCAATAGAGATCACATAAATAAACATAGTCACCAACTGATGGTTTATAGATCAAATGTTGACTAGACTGCAGGTTCTGCTCGACGTAGCGAATCTCATTTATGGTGTAGACATAAACTCTTCCTCATCAGTACAGACCAGTGGTTGAACATAAACAAAAGCTGGAGAGGAGTAAGCGGAAAAATGTTCTAACTTTGGCCCAAAACCAAAGCCAGGATGTGTTAACCTAATGATTCTCACAGCAAGCCATGGACACTATGGGTCAGTCCCACTTTGGAGGTAGGAACAGGAGGCTCCAAGGCTACCCTGCCCCTGAGCTGTACTGTGGACCTAGCAACCTTCTCAGCGCCACTTTCAGGCTGTACTGCTGCTGCTATAAACACTGCTGGCAATCACACGGAACAGACAGGAGGTAAGATCTAGTAGAACACTCCATTTGGCTCTGCTGTCTCCAGCCACCAGTGCTTTGTGCTGACTCAACTCTACTTCTCCTCTTCCCCAGCTGAGATCAGAGGAGGTAAAGAGAAATGTCTCACCTACCGCATTTGCAACCTTTTATTAATGGATTATTTATGTCTGTATATTTGTGCCTGCATTTTCCTTCTAAAAGGAAAACCGTACAATCGAACTAAAGAACAAAAGCTATTCTGGTCACTCCCTTGGTCTCAGACGTGTATGTGCAAGATGAAAAACCCAGCGTTAAGAAGTCCATGAGCGCTACTGCTGACCAAAAATTATTCCAGCATCTAACAATTCTTTAACTGTTAACAACAATTACAACTACAAATGGAAGTTTTATAGGTGGTGAATATCTATAATCCCAGCACTTGGGAACATGGACATAATGATCGCCAGTTCAGGGTCTGTTGGGCTACATATCAAGCAACACTAGGTCCCAAAGAACAAAATCAAAGGAAAACAAAAAGCAATATCAATGAGAGCCTTCTATAAACTACTACGGCTTGAAAAAATACTTTGGTGTAAAAAGAAAACCTTTAGATTTAATTAGACTGGGATCTTATTTGTAACTCTGCCATTAACACTAGGCAAGCTTTGAGTTAGCCATACTATGGTGGTACACATTTTAATCCTAGCACCCAGGAGGCAGGAACAGAGGCAGAGTAAAGTCTACGCATTCGAGGCCATCCTGGTCTAAATAGTGAGTCTCAGGCTAGCTGGTGAGATTACCTCAAACAAACAAACAAACGAAGAGCTATTGTTTTGGGCAGTTGATATAGCTGACTTACTAGACAAGTTCGTGCTACCTCAGCCTGAAAACCTGAATTCAATCCCTAAGACATATGTCAAGATAGAAGGAGAAAACCAACTCCATAGAGTTGTCCTTTGACCTCCACACACATGCCTGTAGCACACACACACACACCCCAATAAAATTAAAGACCGTCTTGATTCAGCTAACATAACTGGGCTTTACTCTGGCCACTGCTGTGAACTGACCACATGAATCAGGGACTCACAGGCCTTCTCTCTCCATTGTCCAATGCTAAGCTCTGAGTAAGACGGGATTTGAAACCATTCCCACAGCTCTGTAGTTTTACCTTAACCGCTCATGTTGAAATTATACTATCTGCTCTTTTTCATAAAAAGCATAGTAGACATTAAAAAAGATTTCTCTTAGTTTGTTGTTGTTGTTGTTGTTTTTCTAAGAACAGTCTCACACAGACCAGGCTAGCTTCAAAACTGCTATGTAGATGAGCTTGGCATTGAACTCCTGATTCTTCTGTCTCTAAATTCCCAAAGCTTGGATTACAGGCAAGCACCACCAAACTTGACTTCACAACAATTTTTAATTAAAAAACAACAACAACAACAACAACAAAAATACCCAGTTTAGTTAACAATAAAGGTTCATTGAGAACATTTAGAACTTAAAAAATTCCAAAAGATATGAACCGATATAGCTTATCTTAATAATTCAATTCCAAAAGATATGAACTGATATAGCTTATCCTAATAATTCAATTCTTACACTTCCATTCTGCAGAACTCATCACAAGATGGTACAGCAAAGTTCAATCTAGTAAGAATTCGGCTTCTTCACCTGTAGAAGTCCCAGGAACCAGGACTGACACACGTGGGAAGAGCTCATGTTACTGATCACCTATCACGTGTCAAATGTGGTCGGCACGTTCCATGTCATCTCTTTTAACTCACTTACGACTTAAACTTTCATTTTTGAGAGAAAGAAAACGAGGCTCCCACTGGGGAATAAATCTACACAGAGCCAAGCTGTGAACTCACATCTCCCGCAGGCCACCTCCCCGCAGGCCACCTCCCCGCAGGCCACCTCCCCGCAGGCCACCTCCCCGCAGGCCACCTCCCCGCAGGCCACCTCCCCGCAGGCCACCTCCCCGCAGGCCACCTCCCCGCAGGCCACCTCCCCGCAGGCCACCTCCCCGCAGGCCACCTCCCCGCAGGCCACCTCCCCGCAGGCCACCTCCCCGCAGGCTCTGCTCCTTTACAAAGGGCACTTACTTTTCGGGCAGCACGACAGACACGTCATAGTCTGTTGGCGTCAGACAGCGGACTTCTGAATAAACCCGGTCTCTGAATCCTGGGAAAAGTGAGTTCCCTCCCGTCAAGACGATGTTCTTAAAAAAATGTGGCTGCATTTCTTTAAAGGAGAAAAAGAAGAAAAACAGTGTTAGAAAACGTACTTGTCCCTGGCAAGGCTCAGCTGAGCAGGCAGGCAAGCAGCAATCGGAGTTAGGGCTGGGAAACTACCCTGGCATCCATTGTTAAGATTTAAAATTCTTTGATTGTTTCACTACTGAGATTTTCTTGCTGCTATTGGTGAGACAAAGGCAGGACAGCCTCGTTTCTAGAACACTGGGGTTATGGACATGCACCAGCACACCTTGCTATGCTTCAAGATTTGTGTGTGATAAGGCAATAATTAACACTGGTGGAGACACTCAAGACAGCAAATATGACCTCACAAATCCTTAATACAAAAATTCAGGGTGGGTGAACTACTGACTATGCTGGACCACATTTATCATCCTTCTCTCCTCAAACTGCGGGGGTCGCCTTCCTTGGTATTTTTAACTTGTTAGTTCAAATTTCCTGTTCTCAAACTAAAACCAATTTATCAACTACATAACACTTACTGTTGATGGGGAAAAATACTCAGTCTACAGCCTTTACATAAAGAGCCTAGGTGTGAATGAATTCTAAAGGTATGTGATGGCCGACACCAGGCATCATACAGTGAACCGGTACTAACCTACAGAGCAGTCAGAAGTGGTGGCACATGCCTTTAATCCCAGCATTACTCGGGAGGCAGAAGCAGGCAGATCTCTGAGTTTGAGGCCAGCCTGGTCTAGAAGAGCTAGTTCCAGGACAGCCAGGGCTGTTATATAGAAAAAACCCTGTCTTGAAAAATAAAAAAAAATAAACAAATAAATAAATATAAAAGGAAGGGAGGGCTGGAGAATTTACTGCTCTTGTAAAGAACCTGGGTTCAATTTCCAGAACCCATATCCAGCAGTTTGAAACTGCCTGTAGCTCCAGCTCCAGGGCATCCAAAGCCCTCTCCAGCTTCTGAGAGCACCTGCATGCATGTGGTCCACATAACTCATACAGGCACACATTCTCTCTCTCACACACACAAGCACACACACCTTTAAGGTAGGAAGGTAGGATAGAAAAGAACTCTGCAACCCTGGGACACTAATTACTTATGCTTCAGAAGAGTGCAGAAGTCACCATGAACACTGTACTCCACTCACCTCCACTCTGTCATTCACTCATTCATTCTTCCTGTGTGCGCATACACATGGGGGAGGGGGAAGTGGCAGTCGCGCCACAGAGCAAGAGTAGAGGTCAAAGGACAACTTTATGGTGTTGGTTCTCTCCTTCCACCTTTTCATAACTTCTAGGGAACTAACCCAGGTTCTCAGGCTTGTACACACAGGCTTGGGCCATCTTACCGTCTATATTATTAAAAGTAAGCTTGTATGTTATTCTATAATATTGCAGAATGAATAAGTCATTTTAATTCTGTACAAATTTGAATTAAAACTTTCAGTTGAGCCTTGAAGTGCATGCCTATGATTTTAACATTCAGAAGCTGGAGCAGGGAAGTCGTGATTTCTAGGCCAGTCTGACCTACATAAGAAGGCTGTGCCTCAAAAATAAAAATAAAAAAAAAAACAATCTTTTCTAAAATGAATAGAGCAATTTAATACTTACGGAAGGATGTACTGATGCTTAAATAGACCACAATGACTTTTGCAAAATACAATTTATGACCCAGACCAAATGGGCCAAGAACTACTCAAGTGCATTCCAGGGTCTGGAACTGTCTGCAATCATACAGGAGCCAGTGTTTGCTATGATTTCTCTTCAGCATGTCACTGGAATCATTAACATACCTTCAGGGAGGTTTTGAATCGAATAGACAATAGCTTCTGGGATCCCCATCTCCTGAATGCCGATGTCAGAAGGGTTGAAGAGTATTTCTGGAACAGCAAACCTCTCGTTGGCGAGGCGAAGAATCTGCTCCCCAGATTTATACTTGCCGCTGAGCACCATCTCTTCTCTCGGCTGGAAGCAAAGAAAGACAGAGAGTTAGGGCTGCATTATCGCGCTCACATGACAAATGATAGTTAGGAAGATGTGATACTAGTAGAGGGACTGTGTTCTTCCTGGACAACGGCATGCAAAATAACACATGCCATTCACTGCATTAGACATCTGATATGCATGATTCCACAAACTTCACATAACACTAAGACAGGCATATTGTCGTTTCATTCATGATATAATTAGGCCTACGAAGGTCATGTGACTTATTCACGCTCTATCACACCAGCCCAAAGAACAGCAGAAATTACATTCACAGTGTAACCAGGATAAGAATGGTTCAGTTTGCTAACATTTGGGAACACTCTGCTCATAACATAAATTTTAAACAAAACTTTCCAGATAATTATAGAACATTACTAGGAAAACTATAAAGCTATAAATATAAACCACTTCTAATCCAATTAAATAATTGTTGTAGTAAGAAAAACAGTACCATTCTCCATAGAAGAATGATCATTTGTCTAAGGTGGAATGGGAAATATTCTTTATAAATTTACAAATTAGCTTACAACTAGCATTAAGCCTGGTATGGTGTATACAGCTGTAATCCCAGCACTTGGCAGGCTGAAGCAGGGGTGCTCTGCAAGTCTGAGGCCAGCCTAAGCCACAGTATGAGACCCTGACCCTGTTCAAAGCAAAATGAAACTAAACACACACGTACATGCACGCACGCACGCATGCAGACAGTAGATTCAGCTTATGCATAATTCATTTTGTCGATACTAGACAATACCTGGGACCAGCACGGACTGGAGGACATGAAAGGTGTTTAGTTTATTTAAAGCCCTGACTCACAGAAGAGGATCAGGCTGACTGACCAAACACCTAACCTGGGAAAAGAGCCAGCACTCAGTGTCCCTGCCGAATGTCGGCCCTAGCCATTAATGTGTAATCTGCAAGTACAAGTCTTTTCTGCTCAAGAGTACAATTCCAGAACATTGTTAGACACAGACAGATGAAGAGATTTTTCAAGACCGTGGGATACTGGTCAGCCAAACCCATGACTTACTGAATGGGCCTCGTACATTTATTTCCAGGACCATTAAAGAAACTATCAGTTTGTTTCATATGATTCTGCAGAAAGTGGTAATCATTAATCAGTTTAGGTCTGACAATTCACACCTTAGTAGGCAGCCTCTTTCTGAGAAGAAATAAAATATTTCTGTTCTTTGTCATTGATATTATTGACCTTATCTCTCTGTATGCTATTGTTCCTTCTACCAGCAGTTGGAAATCAGCACTTTTGAGTTTTCCCAAATGGGAACGGCCCCACAGGCTCATAAATGTGAATGTTTTGTCACCCAAGAGTGGCACTCCTGGGAGGCGGAAGTCTGTCACTGGGGATGGGCTTAAGCCAGGCCCAGTGTCTCTCTCTTCCTGTCATCTGCGATCCAGATCTAGAACTTTCAGCTCCTTCTGCAGCACCATGTCTGCCTGTTGCCGCCATGCTTCCCACCAGGACGATAATAGACTGAACCTCTGAACTGTAAGGCAGCGCCAGTTAAATGCTTTCTTTATAAGAGCTGCCGTGGTCGTGGTCTCTTCCCAGCAACAGAACACTGACTAAGAAGCTAAGTATGAAGACCCACAAACACTTCTGTCATTACATACAACGTTTTTCCAATTTCATCAATATTTGTTTTCCTAGCAGGAAACAACAAAATGAAGTACTAAAGAAACTCAAATTTTATAATTAAGCTTACTATAGATATAATAACGTTCACATAAACGACTAAATATGTGTGGAGGATAAATTTTAACATTAATCAATGAAGAGTAAACCATTCTTTTTATACATATACTTATTGTAATAGCTAGTCTAGCAAGAGCCCAGTTCAACCAACTTTATATTCTCATCTGATAAAGTGTATATTACATATGAAAATTACTAACAGTTAGTTTGGGGGGCTAGGAAGCCCTGAGTGTGTAAAAAGTGGATGAATCTCTGAGTGAGTGTGTTCTGTGGACCTGACGCAACCACATCAAGAACCAATGCCTCAACACATGAGTTGGAAAGGCAAAGCCTCCCCCATAAGGGTCACGGCTGGAAAGGCAAAACTTCCTCTGATCCAAGCAGGAGTGTTTCCTAACGACTGACCACTGTGTGCAAAAACCAGCAACTTCCCAGCGGGAGACAACTGTATCAGATGCCTCCAGCTGAGACTCCGTCTCCTCCAGCCCTGCTGTAATAAACACGCTGAGGCTCCAGACTGCTGTGGCAGTTGGTGCCACTCCATCAGAGTGTACACAGCCCACCTGACCCAGCTGGATTTCTGCACCTTCTCCACTCCCTTGCCAACCCACTCAGGACCAGGCGCCAAGCCACAGAGTCACAGCGAGTTAAAGAAGCTCTAACTAGACTCTGTTCTCAAGGTCACAGGTCAGCAGAACCTGCAAACAATCTTACACCACTCCCCAATACCCCGCAAAGAGAAGGAGTAAATACTGTTCGACCGTGAGAGCAACTCAACAAGGCAGGCCCACCAAGCAGGTGCTGGTCAGGAAGAAACTGGCAGAGCTTAGTCCCTCACAGCGCAGGAGAACAGGTCTTAGAAAAACTCCTAGTTGACCAACCCCAAGGACGAAGAAGAGAAAACATACAGATGTTAATATTTATTTACTTTTTAAATTATGTGTATTGGTGTGTCAGGGGAATACGCACAGGGATGCAGGTGTTAAAGGAGGCCAGGGGCCTCAGATTCGCTGAAGCTGGAGTTAGAGGTAGCTGTGAGCCAGCTGGCATGGGTGCTAGAATCGAACTCAGGTCCTCTGGAAGAGCAGTACATGCTTTTAACCACTGAGCGGTCTCACCAGCCCCCACCATACACATACATTTTTAATCTCTCCTGACTCTGTGATCTGTCAGGCTGGGAGGAACTAGACACCACTGTGACCTTATGCAGGCCCCACCTCTGTGGAAACAGACAACTTTACCGCTCTATCTTACATTCTCCACAGCATCGTGTTAATCTTAGGATTGTGACCATAATCAGACAGAAACATGTGTAGATAGATGATCAAGTGTCTGAGACAGCTCCACAGTCTACACGTTTAGGGCAATTTTCCTCTGTGAATTTCAATCTATATTTGACCTCTGTAGTACGGAAAAAATTTCAGGCCTGCTAAGTACAAACACTAACATAAAATAAATGCCCATTAAGTAGGTTGATGCAATTTACAAGTAAGTTATCATTCCTTTTTAAACAGGATGCTCATCGCTCACCTGTCTTATGAAACCACGTAAACATAACTGGGTTAGCGTTGTGGTCTACTTAGACTGAAGGTGTGCGAATCTTCCTACAGACTGCGTCTCACTGAACACTACATGCTCATCATGCAGTCCTACTTCACTTTCATTACTATTTATTACAACAATATATTAAAAATGATCTTACCTATAGCCGATTCTGAGGCTCTGCAGTTCCCTGCTACTCTAAATGGATACTGTCACATCTTACACTTCTCAGCAGAAAATGTTAACTTCCCAAGAGTCCTTTACAAGCTGTTAACTAGAAGGTCAGCCTTCAGTCAAACACAGAGCCGCCTTTTCCTGGAAATGGCCTTGACATTCAAGATGAACTGGAAGGTGCGGTGGAGTTCGCCTGCCCTTCACTACACTCTGATTCTACAGGAACCGCCACGCGTCAGTTCAGTCTTGGATTAGCCACACTCATTTTCACAACAGAAAAAGAACCAATTTCTAACTGGATTGAAACTATTTTTCCTGTTGTTGTTTTGTATTTCAGGACAGGGTTTCTCTGTGCAGTCCTGAGCTAGCTTTGTAGACCAGGATCTCTAACTCAGAGATCTGCCTGCCTCTACCTCCCGAGTGCAGGGACTAAAGGTGTGTGCCATCACCAACGGGCTTAAAATAATTCTTTAAACAAATTGTTTCATATAATGTAGACAATGACCTGTTTATCTCTAAGACTTATCATGTATGCTATCATCTGACTTTCTTTTCCTAGAGAAACTCATTAATTAAATCTATCCACGTGTGCCTAAAGAAAAGGCTAAAAAAGGACCGCATTAAAGAAGGTTGTCACCGTAAGACCCTGTCCATTCAGCTAAATGTGAAATGCTTTGCAAATCGGGTTGATGCTGTCACTTGAGGAGATATTATGCAAAATTTTGTTTTAATTACCTTACAGGGGCTGGAGAGATAACTCAGCAGTTAAAGAGACTGGCTGCTCTTCTAGAGGACCCAGGTTCAATTCCCAGCACCTATCCACACAGGGGCTCACAACTATCCATAACTCCAATTCCAGGAGATCTGACTACCTCTTCTGGTTTCTGTGGGCACTGCACATGTATGCTTCCCAGACATACATGTGAACAAAATACCCACATACACTAAATAAAAATATGAAACAAAAAAGAAATTTAAAAATTACCTTACAAAAGCCCTTTTTAATTGTACTGAAGTCAGGCAAAACATAGTCAATCATTACTGTATTATCTTCTCCTTTTAACCTGAAAAACAAAATATTTATCAAAATTAATTGCTCACACCACCTGAAGACTAGCTTCCCGCATAAGAGATTACATTATACATACTTGGCGATATCCATGTCTCTGTAAAAATCCTGAGACACATAGCACACGTCTTCTTTCACTTGATTAATCACATGGGTTTCATCCATGACATGCAGCTGCCTAACAGACAAAACACAGACGATGCGAGGGCTGGCAAGGGCTTCAACACACTAGCCTCATGAGATGGGTTCAATCCCTGGGACCTACGGCTGGAAGGAGAGAATCAACTCCCCCAAGCTGTCCTCTGACCTTCATGCAGGCATGCTCGTGCATATTTACCACCCATCCCCCCAAACAAAAGTAAGTGCAGTTCGTAATAAAGCTAGAAATGAGAAGCAATTGAATATAACCTTAAAGCACCATTTAAGTTCCCTTTAAAGATTTATTTTTATTTTATGCGTATGTGTACTTGGCTTGCATGTATGTCTGTAAACTTGTGTGCAATATCCAGAAGAGTACTGGAACTAGAGTTATGAACAGTGGTTAGCCTACAGGTGGGTGCTAGCAACCAAACCAGGGTCCTTTGGGAGAGCAGCCAGTGCTCTTTACCACTGAGCCATCCCTCCAGTACCTAAGTCATTTTTCTAGGGCTGGAAAACACACACACAAACACACAGACAAAACAATCCAGAATTAATATAGAAATGGTTTTTAGGAAGCATTAAATACTACATTTCTAAGTGTGTGTGTGTAGGTGTCCAAACAGTCTTACAATGTTGTCTGGGTTGGCACCTGTCTTAGGGTTTCTATCGCTGCAACGAAAACTCCATGGCTGAAGAGCAAGGTGGGGAGGACAGGGTTTACTCGGCTTACACTGGCTTACACTTAAGCATTGCTGTTGTCATCACTGAAGGAAGTCGGGACAGGAACTCAAACAGGGCATGATCCTGGAGACAGGAGCTGATGCAGAGGCCATGGAGGGAGCTGCTTACTGGCTTGTTCCCACTGGCTTGATCAGTCACCTTTCTTATAGAAGCCAGGACCACCAACCCAGGGGCGGCACCACCCACCATGGGCTAGGCCTTCCCCCATTGATCACTAGATAAGGAGATATCTTACAGCTCATCTTACTAAGGCATTTTCTTAACTGAGGATCCTTCCTCTGATGACGCTAGCTTGTGTCCAGCCTGTACAGTACAGGACAGAACTATGTAGCCCAGGCTGGCTCTGAGCTCATGGAAATCCTCCTAGGTCAGACTTTTAAGTCTGGGCCACCATGCTCAGGTTGGAATATTAAATTCTTGAATGTGTAAACCAAATCTTAACCTGACAGAACGTCCTCACTTTATCATATTTCATCTGTACGTTGTTCTGTAGAGGACAAGTGTTAGTTCAGCTGCAGAGACAGAAACTCAGGAAGGGTGTCAGGTGGTCTTGCTGACCAGAGTGAACTTCGGACTCTCACCATAGCGCCTTCTCTAACACTGTCTTTTCTGATCACCAAGTATTATGTGTCAGCACGCAGTACATAGAACACAGGCCATCTGATGAGTAAAATCAAAGACAATGCAGAAAATGGGATTGTTTTTAATGAGGTCCCTTCCTTCGAATATTTGTCTTTGCACACAGACTTTATTATACGCTATACGACTATTGATGTGGGATTCCCACCTGTAAGTTTTCTTCTTACTGGTTGATAAATAAAGCTGTTTTGGCGGGAAATCTAAACAGAGATATATAGAGAGAGTAGGTAGAGTCAATAAAACACCATGTAGTCACCGAAGGAGAAAGATGCCATTACACTACCAGTAAACCACAGCCTGTGGCAATATATGGATTTACAGAAATGGGCTAATTTAAGATGTAAGACCTAGCTAAAAATACCCCTGAGCCACTGGCCAAAGAGTGTTGTAATTAACATAGTTTTTGTGTGATTATTTGGGTCTGGGCGGCCTGGAAATGAATGCACAGTATCCATTTACAGTCTATTTTATGTTTTCATTTAAATATTATCCCAGGAAAATTTTCCTATGCTATTATTTCTTTTTGTTTGTGTGTTTGCAGACAGGGTCTCACTGTGTACCCCTGGCTGTCCTAGAACTCACTGTGTAGACCAGGCTGGCTTGAGCTCAGAGATCTACCCGTCCCTGCCTCTGCCTCCTGAGTGCATGCACCTCCATGCCCAGTTACATTGCCCTGTGCCACTGGCCCATCGCTGTAGAGCCAGGCCACCGGAGCCAACTTCTGGGAACTGAAGTCAGAAGGAACCTCCCCAATGAAATCGATTATCTTGCATACTAACTACACTAACTCAAAGCTGACCAACACAATGCCCTGCATTTGCTTCTAAGATTTATGGCTAGCTCAGTCCTTTGCATTTCTAAAGCTTTTGACTATATATGAGATTTAAAGCTTTCCTATACTTAAAAGCCATCAAAATCTCTCCTGAGGGCTATTGCAATGGCTCGGTGAGCAAACAGATACCTGCTGGGCAAACACCACAACCTGAGATCAACTGGAGATCACACATAACAACAGGAGAGATAGGACTCCACAAAGCTGTCCCGACACCACACACACACACACACACACACACACACACACACACACACGCACGCACGAACGCACGCACATAAATTAATCTATTACCCTGAGAGTGGTTCCCACACAGGAGGTGGAGTACAGACAATGGATGTGGAGGTGCTGCTGGGCAGGGGAAGTGATTTCTAATGCTCTAGGACACCAGGACGACTATAGTCCAAAATACTTCCGTTTTTCAAAACGGTCAATAAAGATTTTAAAAATTCCCAACCCCCCTCCAAAAAAAATTCCCAACCCAGTGAGACAATGTCTGTGGTGATATTCTAATTATCCTGATCTGATCCATACATTCTACACATAATTATATACATAGAGATAAATAATGATATATGTCATCTACATGTATTAAAATAATACATTGTGCCTACTATTTTATATGTATTTAGCTAACATATATAGCTTTAAAACGTCATTTAAATTTGTTTTTATTTGTTTATTATGTGTGTGCAAGCAGACACACACAGGTGTGCCATGGCATAGGTGTCAGAGGCCAACTCTGTGAAGTCGGTTTTCTCCCCTCATCATCAGGTCTTGGGGATCAAACTCAGGTTATCTAAGGTTTGCAGGCAAGCATCCTTACCACCCGAGTTAACCTTTCTTGTCAGCCCAAAATGTATTTCAGAAGAACCTACCCTATCCTTCTGCTTCAGCTGCTTCCTGAAGTAGTCACAGATGTGGTCATGTCTATGTTTTACTGTATTGCACTCACGATTTGCAAACTTTACTGTACACTTCTACCCAATTACTTTAAGTTGTTCATGGGAAAATATATACTTTGCATACTGTTGCTTTTGCTTTAAATATTTTCCTCTGTGTGTATAGTTTAAAGTCTTTTGTGGAGTGTAGGGTTAAGACAGCCCCTTGAGGGGGCGGGGTTTGCCTCGGGCGAATGCCTACAGATAAATGGGTTGAGGGGATGGGGAGATATTGTATGGAGTTAGGGGTATATACAAAAAAAAAATAAAAAGGGGGGGATTAACTGGTTTGATGGGATGATTGGTATTTGTGACTTACTGTTTTTAGAAAATTATATTGGTACTGTTTCTTGTATATTGATATATTGAATATTGAATATGAGTGTTCCTACCTCTATTTTTGTATAAGAGTATGCTTATATTGTATGGATACATCTATCATATCACAATGTACATTTCTACCTCTGGTACTATTTATGTAATAACATTGTTTACATTTGATATGTAATGACATTGTTTACAGGTGAAGATCATTGTCTTCATATATTGCACAGTTGTTTATTCTCTTAGTTTTCAAAATTAGATAGGTATTGAGAATTATATGTTTGTCATATTTATTGTTAGGTTAATCAGGTCTTTTAGATACATAGAGATTATTTTTAGTATAGATAGTATAATCTTCAGCCTCTTTGAAGAGCTGTAGAAAATGGCCTTTAATCTAACCTAGAATTCTGTGCCTACGAGACACAATTACTCCTGGCAACACCACTCTACTCCCGAGAGAACGTTGAGCACCAAAGACACTCCACTGGGAGCTTGTCTTCTTGGCAGAACTGGCCTTTGGGTTAAGAAAAACCCATACCTCAACTACTGACTAAGATATGAAACAGGATTGTCTTATCTTGCCAAGACAGGGTAGGATAATTCTAAGAAAGTTCCTTGCATTTGATAATGGTATGTCAGTTATGTTAGGCCTTAGCCAAAGTTGGTTGACTCAACATTGCAAACGAGACTTTGGATGATTGCCCAGGTAGTCAGTTGTCTCTGTCATTTGTTGCACATTTTGGATATCTCTCATTTCTTAAGTAATATTTATTCCCTTCTCGGATCTTTGATGGAGTTGAAGATTATTTAATAGTAGTTACTCTCTACATTATTTAGACTCCTTGAGATAGAATGCCTAGCAAAACTTTTGTTCTCAATATTGTTTGTTATATTTATCATTTGTTATTATTGTTTATAGTTATATTTGGTTTAGCTCTGTCTTATTTAGACAAAAGGGGGAGATGTAGGGTTAAGACAGCCCCTTGAGGGGGCGGGGTTTGCCTCGGGCGAATACCTACAGATAAATGGGCGCGCGCGGGAGGCGGCTCCGGCCCTTTCCTTCCTACCTCCTGTGAGTTTATCATTAAAATGTAAATATTCTTTAGTATCTGCATTGCATTTATTTACGCGGATACAGTGGAGGATGTAGTTCCGATAGCATCTCACTACGTACCCCAAGGATAGCCAATGAACTCACTTTTGAAATAAGAGCGGCGGGCTGGGCTGCGTCCCGCCACCCGGCTAGCTTTACCCGAAATAGTTAAATAATTACACAGAAACTGTATTCTTTTAAACACCGCTTGGCCCATTTTTATCTAGCCTCTTCTAGGCTAGCTCTCGCACCTGGACTAGCCCATTTCTAATAATCTGCTGTAGCCCATGAGCTGGCTTACCAGGAATGATCTTAACCTGCGTCTGTCTGGAGTGTGAGAATCATGGCGACTCTTTGACTCAGCTTCTTTCTCCCAGCCTTCTGTTCTGTTTACTCCGCCTACCTATGTTTTAACCTATGAGGGCCAGCCAAGCAGTTTCTTTATTTTTTAACCAATGAAATCAACAGATTGATATGACACTCCCCCATCACTCACTATGTTGCCCAGACTAATACTGAACTCTTGATCTGCTGGCCAGGCCAAGTGCTGGGATTATAGGTATGTGCCCAGTGCCTGTCCCTGTTTCCCTACACCCTCACTTGTCTTAACCTTTTTCTCCTTTTCCATTTGCTTTTTCTCACGGCTAGAGAAGGGAATTAAATATCACAGCACTCTGAAATCAAGCCCAGCTGACCTGATCCAATAGTACATAGTAGTTACATAATCCTAATATTATGAAGGCTGTTCACGAGTTTTGAACTTTTAGACTTACACTTTAAGAAAGGGGAGACAGGCTTAACCACAGCACAAGTAACATGCTATAAACTCGGTAGTTAAGAAAAGTTATAAAGCCAGACAGTGGTGGTGCGCACCTTTAATCCTTGCATTCCGGAGGCAGAGGTAGGTGAATCTTTGTGAGTTCGAGGCTAGCCTGATCTACAGATTGAGTTCAGGACAGTCAGGGCTACATAGAGAAATCCTATCTTAAAAATCCAAAATATAAAAAGGAAAAGAAAAGCCAACCTCTAGCTGGGCGTGTGGTACCGCATCCTCCCCAAGTTCAAAGTCAGTGATTACCTGTAGGATATGATCTCTTTTAGATGGTTCGTTAAGAGTTTTCCGCCCACATTTATCCTATAAAAGGAGAGAATTCAACTTTGGTTCAGTCATCACACACTTCATCCTAAGACATGAAACTGACACAGGATGAGAAATGAGATAAAAACCACACACAGCTCACCGAATAATTGCTTCCTTTTTCTTTTTACTTCTGCAGTAGGGGACGATGTGTGTGAAGGAGTAGCCACTGTCCACGATGATGCAGCACAGCTCAGAAGGATTGTCGCGGAAGTATCTGTGTGCACTCAGGGCGCCGGCTGGGCAAAGGGTGATGGGGGGAAAGTGAACACACAAAAATACACTATGACTTTAAACTAATAAGGAAAAGCAGTAAACTAAGGCAAACACAAACGACAAAAACTGCCTTTATGCCAAGAGTGGCGGCGCGCGACGTTAATCCTAGCACACGGGCAGTGGAGTTCCAGGGCAGCAAGGGCTACATAGAGTGACCCTCTCTCCAAACAAACACACGACAACAGAACCACATGAACAGTAACAAAAAAGCCTTTAATTTTTAAGAAAATTGTAAACTCCTAACAGTATTTATAACTCTCTCTTTTCTAGGACTGACTGACCGACTAGTGTATTTATGTTTTCTGAGGCAGGGTTTCTCTGTGTAGCCCTGGCTGTCCTGGAACTCGCTGCATAGAGCCGCCTGCCTCTGTGTCCCCAGTGCTGGGATCAAAGGTGTGTGCCACCACCACCCGGTTTAGATTTTATCTTCAATTACATGTATGTGTCTGTGTGTGAATGTGTTTGAGTACCGGTGCCTGCAGAGCCCAAAGCACTGGAGTTACGAGTGGGTCCTCTGTAAGAGCATGGGCACTCTTAACCACTGAGCCTTCTCTGGTCCCTTTACAACTGTCTTCAGATCTCAATGTTGAAACTTTTAAAACTCACACTTACACAGTAAACAGGAAAAGAACACGACCTTTTATTCTGTCACTCTGGCCTTCTTTTGGAAGGTGAACGAGCTAGAATCTAACTCTATAGTTTTCAGAGACCTGGAACTCACTACTTAGACACTTTTTTCTTCATGGCAGACTGTTACTCAATTGCTTAGGCAAACTGTAAATTCTCAATCCTGCTAGAATTACAGACCTGTGCCAATGAGGCCAAACTAAAGTTCTATGCTTAAAATAAAAATTCTAGGTTTTATTTCCTTCAGAGCTAAAAACTACACTTATTACTCAGGATCTTAAGTTTCTTTGCCCCATTCATAACCATACTCTGAGTGAAATTTCAATAAAACTTTGTAACTTACCATTCACTCTTAACACTGCTTGGAACTGATATTCTTCAAATAGAATTTCATTCATTGACTCTTGAATTGAAGTGAAGTTAAAATATGGTTCTGTTATAATAATATTAGTATCTAAGAAATCAACCTATGGAAGAAAAAAATCCAAGTTTTATAATCTATATTGATAATCATCAAATTTGTTTCATATGTGTGTATGTATGTGTGTGAGTATAAAATAAACAAAATTATCTAATCCTCGTATTACTAATACTGACAGTAATCCTCATTTAATACATGAACTGAGTCACAGAAAAAAATATGTTACCCAGATTCATATGGCCACTTGGGGCCATAGCTAATATTTGAACTCGGAGAGTCTAGTCACAATCTTACCTTAATAAGATAAAAACATAGGCTTGCCAAAGTGTCAAACTTTTAGAGACAAAAATAAGGGCAGCTGCAACCCAATTAGTGCAGCCATTGTTACTTCGTTATTCACAGAAAAGAAAAAAAAGGCAAGAAGTTTCCAGAGACCTCTCTAGAGAAAGGTCTGCAGAAAACTCAGCAGGATTCATGGCTGTGTCTGGTCTCTTCTCCTTTCCCTTTCCATACTGGCAATTCCAAGTTCAGGATCTGGGCCCAGGGCACCCTCCCCAGGGACGCCCTTCTCATGACTATGCTCTGACTGTGTCTACAAGCTTAGCCAGGGCTCCTTGGTCTTCAGTGCGAGCCTGAGTGAAGGAGACGGTGGTGCAGCTTCCTGGAACCTAGGCATCTCAGCTGGATTTTCCCTTGGGCTTTCTGTCCTTTCAACACCACAGTCTCGAGGTAGATTAAAACTTGAGCATCCTCTCAGCCGGGCTACAGTTACACTATAGTTGTTAAAAACCATATATAATCAGGGCTGAAGGAATGGCTCCGTAGTTCAGAGCACTGGGTGCTCCTCCAGAGAGCACGGGTTCGAATCCCAGCCAGGGGATCTGACATCCTCTTTAACTTCTATGGGTAGTATATGCCTGTGGTGCACAGACACAAATGCAGGTAAAACACCCATACACACAAAGTAAATTCTCCGCATCTCGGCTCACAACCATCTGTAACTCTAGCTCCAAAAGATCTTCCATGGCTTCTGTGGGCACCTACACACACGGGGCATACGCTCACACAGATAGACACAAACACACACACACACAAGTAAATAATAATACAAATCTTTTTTTAAAAAAAAAACCATAAAATTCTTATAACTGCCATCTATTCAGATGTGTAGGCAAACATATCTTTTTTTAAAAAAATATTTATTTATTTATTATGTATACAATATTCTGTCTGTGTGTATGTCTGCAGGCCAGAAGATGACACCAGACCTCATTACACATGGTTGTAAGCCACCATGTGGTTGCCGGGAATTGAACTCAGGACCTTTGGAAGAGCAGGCAGTGCTCTTAACCACTGAGCCATCTCTCCAGCCCCAGGCAAACATATCTTTTGGTTAAACAGAAAGGATATGTATAGGTCTGCATATGTATGTATATGCATGTATGTGTCTAATATAGTCAAAGGCTAAGGAAGTAGCTGAGAGAGGGAGGAATCAATCACCTAGCACACAAAAACATCACAGTTTGACTCCCTAGCTGCAGAAAAGGAGAGTAGAAACAGGAAATAAAAATTTACTATTGAGCTTCACACAGATTATCTGCCTTGCACTTAAGTCTTCAACCTGGAGGCTGTAGTTATTCGCATTCTCTAACTATTCAGAGACCACACTAGGGGTGGTGGTGCATGCCTTTACCACCGGCAGGGCACTCCGAAGGAAGAGTTTGAGGCGAGTCAGTTCTGCTCAGTCCAACCAGGGACACACAGTAAGACCCGGCCTCCAAGTTAAATAAATAGGTAAGATTCAGGAAAACCTACATCTGAGTGCCTTAAATGCATGTAAGTCTTAAATGTTCACATAAAACTTTATAAATGTAAATCTGATTCTTCATTTGAATTAAGATGCAGAAATAGAATTTTAATACATACTCTAACTTGTTACCTGATACATTTCTTTTCCAAAAAGATAATCCCAAACTTGTCGCTGGACATCCCAATTCACCAAGTAGCCCTAAAATTAAGACAGAACAAAACATAAAAAGCCCTTTAATAATCAAGACTATTTTAATAATTTTTAAGCGTAAGGTTAAGGGCGATAAAGGAGCTGGACTCACAAGCCTGGGGACCTGTGTTCTATCCAGAACTGACAGGATGAAAGAGGAGAATTGACCCTAGAAGGCCGTCCTTAGACGGCCACCCCCAAGTCCTGGGATGACATTGGGACAATGTAACGTCTGCTCATCTCACACCCTCGCACAGGACGACGTGACGTCTGCTCATCTCACACCCTCCCACGGGACGACGTGACGTCTGCTCATCTCACACCCTCCCACGGGACGACGTGACGTCTGCTCATCTCACACCCTCCCACGGGACGACGTGACGTCTGCTCATCTCACACCCTCCCACGGGACGACGTGACGTCTGCTCATCTCACACCCTCCCACGGGACGGCGTGACGTCTGCTCATCTCACCCACGCCCCATGGAACGACGTGACGTCTGCTCATCTCACACACTTCCACGGGACGACGTGACGTCTGCTCATCTCACACCCTCACACAGGACGGCGTGACGTCTGCTCATACCACACCCTCGCACAGGACGGCGTGACGTCTGCTCATACCACACCCTCACACAGGACGGCGTGAGGTCTGCTCATCTCACCCACGCCCCATGGAACGGCGTGACGTCTGCTCATCTCACACACTTCCACGGGACGTCGTGACATCTGTTCATCTCCCACACCCCCACAGGATAGCATGACGTCCTGTTATCCCACACCCTCCCACTGGACGGCGTGAGGTCCTGTTATCTCACATCCCCACACAAACTTAAAAAACAAAACAAGGAAACCTGAACCAGTTTTAACAGACCCCTTAGATAGCATCGATAGGAGGAGATGGGCAGGCATCAAGGAAAGAATTCACCCAATAATCTGAAAATCAGCATGAAAACACCAGAATCCAATGATCTTACAACAGAAGGTCTCCAACACCCTAACACAGAAGAAGTGGAAAAAATTGACTTTTTGAAAGCAGTAGAGTCCCTTAAACAACATGTGAAAAATGCCCTTATAGAAATGGATGAGAAGTATAACCAAAAATTTGAAGAAATGAGTAAATATGTACATAATACCCTGGGAAACCAAGAAAGAACGATCAAACAGGTAATGGAAACAGTTCAAGAATTGAAAACTGAAATGGAAGCAAGGAAGAAAACACAAACTGAGGACCAGCTGGATATGGAAAATCTAGGTCAACGAGCACAGCCTACAGAAACAAGCATAATCAATAGAATACAAGAAATAGAAGAAAGAATCTCAGATTCTGAGGACACCATAGAGAAAATAAACACTCTGATCAAAGAAAACTGCAAAGCCAACAAATTCTTATCACAAAACATTCAGGAATTATGGGACACAATAAAAAGACCAAATATAAGAATAATAGGAATAGAAGAAGGAGAAGAGTCACAGCTCAAAGGCCCAGAAAATATTTTGAACAAAATTATGGAAGAAAACTTTCCCAACTTAAAGAAAGATATTCCTTTGAATATTCAAGAAGCATACAGAACACCAAACAGACTGGATCAAAGGAAAACATCCCCTCGCCATATAATAATCAAAACACAAAATATACAGGTTAAAGAAAGAATACTAAGAGCTGCAAAGGAAAAAGGCCAAGTAACTTATAAAGGTAAACCGATCAGACTTACACCTGATTTCTCTATGGAAACAATGAAAGCCAGAAGGTCCTGGATAGAAGTACTGCAGAAGCTAAGAGACCATGGATGCAAGCCCAGACTACTATACCCAGCCAAGCTTTCGTTCACTATAAATGGAGAAACCAAGACATTCCAGGATAAGAACAAATTTAAGCAATACGTAGCCACGAATCCAGCCCTACAGAAAGTAATAGAAGGAAAACCGCAACCCAAGGAATCCAACATTGCCAACACTGCCTACAATAACTCAGGCATCTAGCGACCCTTCACTAGCACAAATCAAAGAAGGGAGACACACAAATTCTACTTCCAAAAACAACAAGAATATCCGGCATGAACAACCACTGGTCATTAATATCACTTAATATTAATGGTCTCAACTCACCTATAAAAAGGCACAGGCTAAGAGATTGGATACGAAAACAGGATCCAACATTCTGCTGTTTGCAAGAAACACATCTCAACCACAAAGACAGGCATCTACTCAGAGTAAAGGGTTGGGAAAAGGTCTTTCAAGCAAATGGTCCTAAGAAAAAAGCAGGTGTGGCCATATTAATTTCTAACAAAACTGACTTCAAACTAAAATCAATCAGAAGAGATCGAGATGGACACTTTATACTCATAACAGGAACAATTTGTCAGGATGATGTCTCAATCCTGAATATTTATGCCCCTAATATAAAAGCACCCATGTATGTAAAAGAAATATTACTAAAACTCAAGGCAGATATCAAACCACACACACTAGTAGTAGGAGACTTCAATACACCTCTCTCAGCAATGGACAGGTCAATCAGACAGAAACCTAATAGAGAAGTAAGAGAACTACTGGAGGTAATGAAGCAAATGGACTTAACAGACATCTATAGAACATTCCACCCAAATAGGAAAGAATATACCTTCTTCTCTGCAGCCCATGGAACCTTCTCGAAAATTGACCACATACTCGGAAACAAAGGAAACCTCCACAGATACAAAAAAATATCAGTGTCCACCTGCGTCTTATCAGATCACCACGGATTAAAGTTAGAATTTAACAACAATCCTACCTCCAGAAAGCCGACAAACTCATGGAAACTGAACAGTCAACTACTGAACCACACCTGGGTTAAGGAAGAAATCAAGAAGGAAATTAAAGTCTTCCTGGAATTCAATGAAAATAGAGAAACAACATATTCAAACCTATGGGACATTATGAAAGCAGTGCTAAGAGGAAAGTTCATAGCACTAAGTGCCCACTTAAAGAAAACTGAGAAAGCATACATCAGAGACTTAACAGCACACCTGAAAGCTTTAGAAAAAAAAGAAGCAGACACGCCCAGGAGGAGCAGAAGACTGGAAATAATCAAACTGAGGGCGGAAATCAACAAAATAGAAACGCAGAAAACAGTCCAAAGAATCAATGAAACAAAAAGTTGGTTCTTGGAGAAAATCAACAAGATCGACAAACCCCTATCCAAACTAATTAAACGACAGAGAGAGAACACGCAAATAAATAAGATCAGAAATGAAAAGGGGGACATAACCACAGACACAGAGGAAATTCAGAGACTCATTAGATCTTACTACAAAAGCCTGTATGCCGCAAAACTAGAAAATGCAAAAGAAATGGACATGTTTTTAGATAAGTGCCACATACCAAAGCTAAACCAAAACCAGGTGAACGATCTAAACAGACCTGTTAGCCGCGAAGAACTAGAAACCGTTATCAAAAATCTACCTTCCAAAAAAAGCCCAGGACCAGATGGTTTCAATGCAGAATTCTACCAGAACTTCCAAGAAGAGCTAATACCTATACTCCTTAATGTATTTCACAATATAGAAACAGAAGAGTCATTGCCAAATTCCTTTTATGAAGCTACAGTTACCCTGATACCAAAACCACACAAAGACCCAACCAAGAAAGAAAATTACAGGCCTATCTCACTCATGAATATCGACGCAAAAATTCTCAATAAAATACTGGCAAACCGAATCCAAGAACACATTAGAAAAATTATCCATTATGATCAAGTAGGCTTCATCCCAGAGATGCAGGGCTGGTTCAACATACGAAAATCTATCAATGTAATCCAGCATATAAATCAACTGAAAGAAAAAAACCATATGATCATTTCATTAGATGCTGAAAAAGCATTTGACAAAATTCAACACCCCTTTATGATAAAAGTCTTGGAGAGATTAGGGATACAAGGGTCATACCTAAATATAATAAAAGCTATATACAGCAAGCCGTCAGCTAACATTAAATTAAATGGAGAAAAACTCAAAGCCATCCCACTAAAATCAGGAACACGACAAGGATGTCCACTCTCTCCATACCTCTTCAATATAGTGCTTGAAGTTCTAGCAATAGCAATAAGACAACATAAAGGGATCAAGGGGATTCGTATCGGAAAAGAAGAAGTTAAGCTCTCGTTATTTGCAGATGATATGATAGTATACATAAGCAACCCCAAAAACTCTACCAAAGAACTCCTACAGCTGATAAACACCTTTAGTAATGTGGCAGGATACAAGATCAACTCCCAAAAATCAGTTGCCTTCCTATACACTAAGGATAAGGAAACAGAGAGGGAAATTAGAGAAGCATCACCTTTCACGATAGCCACAAATAGCATAAAATATCTTGGGGTAACTCTGACCAAGGATGTGAAAGATCTACTTGACAAGAACTTTAAGTCTTTGAAGAAAGAAATTGAAGAGGACACCAGAAAATGGAAAGATCTTCCTTGCTCCTGGATTGGGAGGATCAACATAGTAAAAATGGCAATTCTACCAAAAGCAATCTATAGATTCAATGCAATCCCCATCAAGATCCCATCAAAATTCTTCACAGATCTGGAGAAGACAATAATCAACTTTATATGGAAAAACAAAAAACCCAGGATAGCCAAAACAATCTTATACAACAAAGGAGCGTCTGGAGGCATTACCATCCCTGACTTCAAACTCTACTACAGAGCTACAGTATTGAAAACAGCTTGGTATTGGCATAAAAACAGAGAAGTAGACCAATGGAATCGAATAGTAGACCCTGACATTAACCCACAAACCTATGAACACCTGATTTTTGATAAAGGAGCTAAAAGTATACAATGGAAAAAAGAGAGCATCTTCAACAAATTGTGCTGGCAAAACTGGATGTCAACCTGTAGAAGAATGAAAATAGATCCATATCTATCACCATGCACAAAACTCAAGTCCAAATGGATTAAAGACCTCAATATCAGTCTGAACACACTAAACCTGATAGAAGAGAAAGTGGGAAGTACTCTACAACACATGGGCACAGGAGACCACTTCTTACATACAACCCCAGCAGCACAGACATTAAGGACCTCATTGAATAAATGGGACCTCCTGAGACTGAGAAGCTTCTGTAAAGCAAAGGACACTGTCGCTAAGACAAAAAGGCAACCCACTAACTGGGAGAAGATCTTCACCAACCCCGCAACTGACAAAGGTCTGATCTCCAAAATATATAAAGAACTCAAGAAACTAGACTGTAAAAGGCTAACCAACCCAATTATAAAATGGGGCATTGAGCTGAACAGAGAATTCTCAACAGAAGAACTTCAAATGGCCAAAAGACACTTAAGGTCATGCTCAACTTCCTTAGCGATCAGGGAAATGCAAATCAAGACAACTTTAAGATACCATCTTACACCTGTCAGAATGGCGAAAATCAAAAACACCAATGATAGCCTTTGCTGGAGAGGTTGTGGAGAAAGGGGTACACTCATCCATTGCTGGTGGGAATGCAAACTTGTGCAACCACTTTGGAAAGCAGTGTGGCGGTTTCTCAGGAAATTTGGGATCAACTTACCCCTGGACCCCGCAATACCACTCTTGGGAATATACCCAAGAGAGGCCTTATCATACAACAAAAGTATATGCTCTACTATGTTCATAGCAGCATTGTTTGTCATAGCCAGAACCTGGAAACAACCTAGATGCCCTTCAATGGAAGAATGGATGAAGAAAGTATGGAATATATACATATTAGAGTATTATTCAGCAGTAAGAAACAAGAACTTCTTGAATTTTGCATACAAATGGATGGAAATAGAAAACACTATCCTGAGTGAGGTAAGCCAGACACAAAAAGAGGAGCATGGGATGTACTCACTCATATTTGGTTTCTAGCCATAAACCAAGGACATTGAGCCTATAATTAGTGATCCTAGAGAAGCTAAATAAGGAGAACCCAAAGAAAAACATATAGGCATCCTCCTGAATATTAACCTTCAGCAAGCGATGAAAGGAGACAGAGACAGAGACCCACATTGGAGCACAGGACTGAATTCTCAAGGTCCAAATCAGGAGCAGAAGGAGAGAGAGCACGAGAGGACCATGAGGGGTGCACCCACACACTGAGACAATGGGGATGTTCTACTGGGAACTCACCAAGACCAGCTGGCCTGGGTCTGGAAAAGCCTGGGATAAAACCGGACTCTCTGAACATAACGGACAATGAGGACTACTGAGAACTCAAGAACAATGGCACTGGGTTTCTGATCCTACTGCACGTACTGGCTTTGTGGGAGCCTAGGCAGTTTGGATGCTCACCTTACTAGACCTGGATAAAGGTGGGGGGTTCCTTGGACTTCCCACAGGACAGGGAACCCTGATTGCTTTTCGGGCTGAGGGGGGGGGACTTAATTAGGGGAGGGGGAGGGAAATGGGAGGCGGTGGCTGGGAAGAGACAGAAATCTTTAATAAATAAATAAATTAAAAAAAAAAACAAAACAATCAACATGTTCTAAATCCCTGGGCTCTAGCTGTGAATGGCCACCTTCTGTGCTGTACAACCGTCAATCAGTTATAGAGGTGGTGTTCTCCTTGTTAAACATTCAAAAGCTTACAATGAACAACAACTAAGATGTCAATGGGTCAAACAGCACACCAATACATAAGGCATGCATGCCACCTGTTTTAATACAAATAAAATGTAATACAAATAAAAAGTATTACAAAGAGTAACTAAATCATGGTTATTTTTTACTAAAACAATTTCATTCCAATTTGTCATTTTAGGCCGGGCGGTGGTGGCGCACGCCTTTAATCCCAGCACTCGGGAGGCAGAGGCAGGCGGATCTCTGTGAGTTCGAGACCAGCCTGGTCTACAGAGCTAGTTCCAGGACAGGCTCCAAAACCACAGAGAAACCCTGTCTCGAAAAACCAAAAAAAAAAAAAAAAACAAAAACCAATTTGTCATTTTAGTTCAAACTGGAAAAAAAAAGTATGTAGAGATCTAAAAATATTTTCACTTGTACCCTATAGCTCCAGCCCCAGGGGCATCTGACACCTCTGACCGCTGTCAGCAACTGTCTCACCTGCGCTTACACACACATGTATAAAAATAGCAAGTCTGATACCCAGACCTGCAGTGGCTCACACACTTTTTCTCCTCGCATCCTAGTGGAGAGACGGGAGGGAACAGGAGCATCCCTCGGGACTGCACAATGGGAGAAATGAGACCTGTTTCAACTCTGACCCTGTCCCCCCACCACACACAATTATAGGTTTATAATATCAGAAATAAAACATAAATGTGTTACCTTTTGGAAAGGAAGAATGTAAAAGAGTCCTGAAGGGTCTTTTATTTCATCAATCTGGTTGGCAGTAAACGTTTTAAGACGCGCTGTTTTTGATCGGAACTGGCAATTGGGAATGACCCTAGGTGCAAAGAAATAAGAATCATCTTCCAAATATTCAGATCCTAAAAAGCAGCTGTACTCAGTGAACACCTGTGTGCTAAGACTGCTTTATTCATAAACTAGTGTTTCTCATTGTCTCCGAGGAACTAAAACAATACTTTTAGGTTGTCGTGTTTACAATGCTGGGGTCCAACAGACTCTCTGCTTTCTCAGGGATCTTAAAGAACCCTTGGGGGCAGGTGTGGTTCTGCTATTGCATTAAAAACAAAAAACAAAACAAAAAATAATCCCTTTCTATGTATATGCTATTGGCATGCATCTGTTTGTTTACGTGTCTGGGTAGTTTTTCTGGATGTGAGATCTCCTAGGGCTGGAGATACAGGTAACGGTTAGCTTCCATGTAGGTGCTGGGAAGTAAACTTAGAAGAGCAGAAAGGGCTCTTAACCATTAGGCCATCTCTCTAGCCCCAGGTACCTGGTTCTCACTTAAGGAAAAAAAATTTACGTAGCAGAAGTCTTATTTTAATAAATGTCTTTCAATAGCACTTAAGTTGTAAGAATTCAGTAAAACAGGCTGGGCTAAGTAATATAGTGCCTATTCAAAATACAAGGGTTCAACACCTAGTGTTAAAAAAAAAAAATCAGAGGCTGGAGAGATGGCTCAGAGGTTAAGAGCATTGCCTGCTCTTCCAAAGGTCCTGAGTTCAATTCCCAGCAACCACATGGTGGCTCACAACCATCTGATATGCGCCCTGCAGGCATACACACAGACAGAATATTGTATACATAATAAATAAATAAATATTTTTTTAAAAAATTCAGTCAAATGCCCACTTAGGCCTGAAGCGATAGCCCTCATCAGTAATCCTAGCACTCAGAAGATGGAGGCAGGAGGATCTGAAGTTTAAGGTCATCCTGGATTACACTTAGTGCTACGAGGCTCTGGGGGTGTGGCTCTTCTTACCCGTGCAAGGTCCTGGTTTGAGCTCAAGCACTGAGAAAGGTGTATTACTAATTCAAACATACATTTTATGAAGCACATCTTAAGATATGCCACTTTAGCGTTCCTGGTTTTACCAACCAAGCCATTCAAGTAGGTTGGCTGCCCAACGTCTTCAAACTCCCTGGATTCTAATGTTAGTTTTACAATCTTAGCCGTTGGTGGGCACTGAACCTTTTGGGGGATGCGATAAATCCCCGTAACTGGCGTTTCTCCAAAAGGCGAGCATGCCCCCCAAACGTTGCCCACTATTTCTGAAATCTCATAAACTCTCTCTTTGGTTCCCTCGGTCCATCTCGAGAAACCTATTTCCTGTTGCCAAAGGAAATATACATGCCACTTCCGGAGCCCCGCAGCCCCTAACGAAAACCACTTTCGGTTAGGAGCATCAAACCCACCCAGCCAGCTCCAAACCGAGCCGCATCCCTCGACTCGGGCTGGCGCCGCGCGAGGGCGTCTGCGGACCGCTCAAGTCGGAAAGCACAGTCTGTGGAGGCCACAAGGCGTACGCGTCCTGTCCCTCGGGGACGACCAACACTTACGACACACTGTCATGGCTGTAGCCGATTTTGGCGTTGTAGGCTCCGTTATCCAGCACTAAGGTCGTCATTTCTGCACCAGCCGCCCCACAGCCGAGCGGCTCGAAGCCCCTCGGGCCGCCTCTGCTCAGGTTCCTTCCGGAACTCTATGATCTTTATGGGGGCGGAGCCGTAGCGTCAGCTTCCGGTTACTGTGGCAACGGACGACGCCGGAAGTCAGGCAGTGGGGACGGCCTTTCCCGTCCGCGAGCGTCCAGTTTTTAAAACCCGGTCTTTTAGGTAGCAGCGACCAGAACTTTTTCACCCGTTTCTCATGTTTCTTTACGGCGAACACTGGCGAATGAAAGCTTTTTGTAACCTCTGTAGTGGACTGCGTGTGCGTGCCTGATGCGTGTGTTCGATCAGAATTGTTGAGATATTCTTCAAGAGTACAAAACCGTATGTAGTGTGGAATTGGATATAAGGTCTCTCCAGCCTGGCCTTCATTTCTTAGCACTTGTCATCAGGTTGTAGGATTTGGTCATAATAAATTATTCGCTGTTTAGTTTTTATGTTTTTTTCCTTCTTTCTTTTTTTCTTTCTTTCTTTCTTTCTTTTAAAAAAAAAAAAACTCACATTCGCACTCCCCAACGAATCCCCAGCCCTACTTGCTCTCCAGGACTTAAAGTATCCTATCTACAAAGGATTTCCTGGCATCTGACATGCTCCCTCTCCGTTCTAATTCCTGGAATTAGATGTCCTTCCTGCGTGCTTCTGTAAAACGGAGGACTCCTGTGTCCTGATGTTAAGATCTTGGAGCCCAGCATGGTGGCAAATGCCTTTAATCCTAGCACTCGGAGGCAGAAGCAGTTGGATCCCCGAGTCTACAGAGCGAGTGCCAGTACAATCAAGGCTGCACAAAAAAAGGAGGTACTCTCTTGAAAACCAACAATCCAAAATAAATAAATAAATAAACAAAGCTTAATTAGGGTGTGGAAATGAAGCTCAGCAGTAGAATGTTTGCAAAGGCCTTGGGTTTTGATCACCAAAAAAAAAAAAGAAAGAAAGAAAAGGAAAAACATTATTGAATGTATCAAGTTAATTTTGTTCAACTTCATCATTTTCTTTTATCCAACTCAACACTGAAGTGAGAAGATCTCAGGTTGAGGCAGGAGGATCACCTCTTCCAGTCTAACCTGGGCTACATAGCCCAGATGGCACTATATGTAGATAGAGTTCTAGTCTCAAAACCAACAAAAGAGAAACTCTCACAAACAAAAAAGGGATCAGCTCATTTCCTCCAGTCAAGTGACACATTATCTTTAAACCTTCTGTCATCCAATAGCCATCATTTCTATTTCTCATTTTTAAACCACGCTCTTTCAACCCTGTCTCTACTGTGCTTCCATCCTTTCTCGCTGAATCTTCTGTCTGGCTTTCCTCACTATTTACGTGATTCTTGAGCAAGATTCTTCTTGCTCTTGGTTTTGGTTATCATCGAGTACAGATGCTTTTTAAACCTGAATTTTCTATCTTGTTTCTATAAAATTGAACACTGAGTATCTTTCCATAATTAGCTGTTCCACTCCGTTTACCCATTTCAGCTATTGGTGTTCCTCCAAATTCCACCCGGTGCTCCAAATGAGAAACCGCAATTACTATCAACTCATCTTTACAGAGTAAATCTCTGTAGTGTTTGACTGATCTTGCTTCATCTCTGCCAACACTTCCTTATCTCTCACTTGGAATAACGCCACCGCCACCTCAAGGCCCTTGCAGCCTCTGTTCTCTTTTCTGAAAGAAAGCATAGTGATTAGCAAGCACTTTTTATAACTCACAGATCCGATCAGCCTCCTGTGTCGATCTGTATCGACTGCCAACTTGACAGGATATAGAGTTACCTTGGAGACAAATTTCTGGGCGTATATGTGAGGAGTTATTCTAGTTTGGTTCATTGTGATGTGAAGACCCATCCTAACCTCCAGGCTGAAGTGGTTCCTGACTGTGGATACCATGTGGATGGATACCGCATTTGCCGCCATCGCCGGCCACCATAACTTCCCTGCCATGACTGTACACTCCAACTGTGAGCCAAATATGAACACTGTCTTCCTTAACTGAAGTTTGTCACATATTGTATACAGCAATGATAAAGGTAAGTAATACAGAATAGTGACACCAAGAAGTGGGACTGTTCCTGCGATAACCTAGCCGTGTAATTCTAGGCCTTTGGAACGGATTTGCAAGAGGAATGTGCATAGTTTTGAAACTTTGGAGTCAAAAAGTCCTCACATACTATAAGTAGAACATGATGGGCCATTCTTGGAGAATTTCTGAAGACCAAAATATCACGAGAAATGCAGGCAGTGGTGCCCCAGATCTTGAGGATTTGGAGGAAACAAGGGCACTGGGAGGGGATGGAGCTAAAGTTATTCGTGTTCTCTTCTGACAAATAACCTAGCTATATTCTACCCATGTTCTCGGAACTGATGTGAGTCAGAATACAGGAGTAATGTGCTAATTGGTTTGCAGAAATATTTTCCAGATGGGTTAACATTCAGGTTGTGAATGATCACTGCTTATGTCTCTCACTTTGTGTGTGTGTGTGTGTGTGTGTGTGTGTGTAAGAGACAGGGGGGTGAATTTGAAAGATTTGTAAAATGTGCATTTTTCCAGGAAGCTTTGCACTGTGAAAGGTACTTCAAGGGCAAGCCCCTGCCCACTGAAGACTCTGTCTTGTTAAAATGCATCCATCTGAAATGAGAGCCCACACTGATACAGCTACTGAAAGAATCCTTTAAGGACAGTGGTTCTCAACCCATGGGTCTTGACCCCTTTGGGTGATAGGGGGAGGCAGATCTCTGTGAGTTCAAGGCCGGCCTGGTTTACATTGTGAGTTCTAAGACAGTCAAGGCTAGACAGAGAAAGCTTGTCTCAAGATAATTGTCATTACATTTATGTAGTGTCCATGCACATGCGTCTGTAAATGCCTTATCTGCTGAGCCATCTCCTCGATCATAATTTACAATCCATCCAGTGATAGGAGCAGGATAGTAAACACCTAACAACTAGATCTCTAAGGATGGGCCTAAGTCTTGGTTTGTAGTGTGTCGTAATTTTTATTGTGTGACTAGACTACCATTATCACAGCTGATTTCAAACCGTGCTGAAGTTATGGAACAGGCGTCCCATTTGAGAAGATGTAGACAGTGGAGTCTTAGGAGCCAGCCTGACCAGCTTCAGCACAAATTGTTCAATAAGAACGCTCTTCGCTTTCACGCTTTTCACTCCCTTCCCACCCCTTAGAACAAATGGTTTAAAGAGTGCAAACCCAACTTTTCTTTTTTGTTTATTTTTTTTTACATTTTAAACTATTTTTAATATGCATTAGAGTTTTATTTGCACTTATGTCTGTGTGGTGGTATCAGAGCCCCTGGAACTGGAATTACAGTTATGAACTGCCTTGCAGGGATTAGGGATTGAACCCAGGTCCTCTGGAGGAGCAGTTAGTACTCTTCAGCACTGAACCATCTTTCCAGCCCTTTTAAAATGTAGTCTTCTCTCTCTCTCTCTCTCTCTCTCTCTCTCTCTCTCTCTCTCTTTCTCTCTCCTCTCTCTCTCTCTTTCTCTCTCCTCTCTCTCTCTCTTTCTCTCTCCCCTCTCTCTCTCTCTCTCTCTCTCTCTCTCTCCTCTCTCTTCTCTCTCTCTCTCTCTCTCTCTCTCTCTCTTTCCTTTCCTTTTTTCTGATTTTTTTCAAGACATGGTTACTCTATGTAACAGTCCTGGCAGCCCTGGAACTTGCTTTATAGATGAGGCTGGCCTCGAACTCACAGATCTGCCTGTCTTTGCCTCCTGACTGCTGGGATTAAAGGAATGTAAACCCAACCTTTTAAAAGAGTGTTTAAGCATAAGCATCATGTAAGCCTATAATGAATGCATAGAAGACCAAAGTTCTTATATTAATATGACGTAACAAAATTTTCATCTTGGTGCTGGTTAAGTTGGAGTCACCTGAGCAGAGGGAGCCTCCATTGAGGAAGTGCTTCTGTGAGACCAGTTGATGAGCCTGTCTGTGGGGCATTTGCTGACTGAGGTGTGTGTATGTGTGTGGGGGGGGGGGGGCACCGCCCATTGTGGATTGTGCCATTCCTGAGCAGGTAGGCCTGCGTTGTAAAAGTAGTTGAGCAAGCAGGAGGAAGCAAGTTGGTAAGCAGTGTTCCTCTTCCGTGATCTCTGCTTCAGATCTTGCCTCCAGGTTTCTCTGTGGAGCTCCAGCCCAGGCTTCCATCAATGATGGATTGTGACCTCTCACCCGGATAAACCCTTCGCTCCCACAGGCTGTTTGTGGTCAGTGTTTAATCGTAACAGCAGAGAGAAAAATTAGGACAATGCTCATTATGAGTTCTTTAGGACAATCATGGCTCCAACCTTTAAAAAAATTACACTTTTTTTCCCCTTTTCTTTTCTGGTTCTATGGATCAACCCAGAGCCTTATGTATTCTCGGTGAGAGGGTTGCCACTGAATTTAAAATTTATGGTTTGCAGTTGGGCCGTGGTGGCGCACACCTTTAATCCCAGCACTCGGGAGGCAGAGGCAGGCGGATCTCTGTGAGTTTGAGCCGGCCTGCTTTACAAGACAGACTCCGAAGCTACAGAGAAACCCTGTTTCAAAAAGGCAAAAAAAAATTTATAGTTTGCAAATTGAATGCCAATTACCAAACCTGCTAATTTTAAAGCTCTACTGGGTTTATTCTAGTTTGAGGTACTGTGCATCGTCTCTATCAGAGAAGAGCCAGTGGGAAACTGTTAGCGTTTCTTTTCCACAACGAAACTGTGAGTCTCACTGACAGCCTGGGTTCTATAAGACTTGTTTGGAAATGAAGTCTTCTGTTGTTCTAACCACCACATTAGAACACCAACCACTTAAACAGCTCTGACTCTCACACGCCGGTGTTTTGACACGCGTGGGTCCCATCTGCTTAAATCACTCTCTTCTGACTAGTGAGTTACCAATAGCTCCCATCCTGTCGTCTTGGGCCCTTTTCTGAGTGGTTCTATTAGCATGAGTGATCTCTACCCCATGGTGAAGGCTTAGGCCACCGCTGGGCTCAGAAAGGAGCAGTGTCTTTCCTTTCCCATGGTATAAAATGCCGACAAGCTGTCTT